CTAAGATAAGACTGATTGTGGCGATAGTGGACGGGGGGGCGGGGCTAGTACTTGTTAACGTAAGACTGATTTTGGTAGATGACATACTCTTTAAAAAAATAGAGGGCTGGTGGGCGGGGCTGGTACTTGATAAGATAAGACTGAACAATATTAAGAGTAGTTACTGGAACGAAGAAGGGGTGGGTGGGCGGGGCTAGTACTTGTTAACGTAAGACTGATTTTGGTAGATGCCCTACTCTTTAAAAAAATAGAGGGCGGGTGGGTGGGGCTGGTATTTGATAAGATAAGACTAATTTTGGTAAATAACATATCTTCCAAGAAAAAAAGGGTGGGTGGGTGGGCTAAAACTTGTTAAGGTAAGGCTGAACAATATTAAGAGTAGTCACTGGAACAAAGAAGCGGTGGGTGGGCGGGGCTAAAACTTGCTAAGAGAGAATTGAACAATATTAAGAGTAATTACTGGAATGAAGAGAGGGTGGGTGGGCGGGGCTATTGCTTACTTATAGAAGATTCTGTTGGAAAAAGTTAAAGTTAGCCCCGCCCACCCACCCGTTCTCTCATTTTTCGGAATGAGAAGAGCGTGTGTGGGGGGGGGCTAGTATCTGCTAAGATAAGACTGATTGTGGCGATAATGGACGGGGGGCGGGGCTAGTACTTGTTAACGTAAGACTGATTTTGGTAGATGACATACTCTTTAAAAAAATAGAGGGCGGGTAGGCGGGGCTGGTACTTGATAAGATAAGACTGATTTTGGTAAATAACATATCTTCTAAGAAAAAAAAGGGTGGGTGGGCGGGACTAAAATGTGTTAAGATAGGACTGAACAATATTAAGAGGAGTTACTGGAACGAAGAAGGAGTGGGTGGGCGGGGTTAGTGCTTGTTAACGTAAGACTGATTTTGGTAGATGCCCTACTTTTTGAAAAAATAGAGGGTGGGTGGGCGGGGCTGGTACTTGATAAGATAAGACTGATTTTGGTAAATAACATATCTTCTAAGAAAAAAAAGGGTGGGTGGGCGGAGCTAAAACTTGTTAAGATAAGGCTGAACAATATTAAGAGTAGTCACTGGAACGAAGAAGGGGCGGGTGGGTGGGGCTAAAACTTGCCAAGATAGTACTGAACAATTTTAAGAGTAGTCACTGGAACGAAGAAGGGGTGTGTGGGCGGGGCTACTGCTTGTTTATAATAGATTCTGTAGGAAAAGTCAAACTTTGCCCCGCCCACCCACCCATTCTCCCATTTTTGTCTTCAGAAATAAGAAATAAATGTTATAGTAAATAAATAGTATAACAAAATAAGTACGATTAATGCTTTTTTTTAACAACCTACGTTCTATTATTTCCCATTCTTACTTTACAAAAGAAAATGTAATTACCACGCCCACCCACCCCGCCTCCATTTCAGTGATTCGTGAAGAGAGAAAAAATCGTTATAATGAGAACAGCGTGTGTGGGGGCCGGTGTTCTTAAGATAAGATTGACTTTAGTAAATGATATATCTTCTAAGAACAAAAGAGTGGGTGGGCGGGGCTAAAACTTGCAAACATAGGCCTGAACAATATTAAGATTAATCACTGGAATGAAGAGGGGGGTGGGTGGGTGGGGCTATTGTTTGCTTATAAAAGATTCTCTAGGAAAAAGCTAAACTTAGCCCCGCCCACCCACCCGTTCTCTCATTTTTTTCTTCCGAAATAAGAAATAAATGCTATAGTAAACAAAAAAAATACGATAAATGCTCTTTTTAACAGCTTCCGTTCTATTAGTTCCCATTCTCACTTTACAAAAGAACATATAATTCACCCCGCCCACCCACCCCGCCTCCATTTCAGTGATTCATGAACAGAGATAAAATCGTTAGAATGAGAACAGCGTGTGTGGGGGGCGGTGTTCTTAAGATAAGATTAATTTTGGTAAATCACATATCTTCTAAGAAAAAAAAGGGTGGGTGGGCGGGGCTAAAACTTGCTAAGATAGAACTGAACAATATTAAGAGTAGTCACTGGAACGAAGAAAGGGTGGGTGGGCGGGGCTATTGGTTGCTTATAATAGATTCTATAGGAAAAAGTAAAAACTTAACCCCACCCACCCACCCGTTTTCTCATTTTTTACAATGATAACAGCGTGTGTGGGCGGGGCTACTAGTATCTGCTAAGATAAGATTGATTTTGGTATGTCATCTGCCAAAATCGGTTTTATTATTGCAGCTACTAGCCCCACCCGCCCACCCTCTGTTTTCTTAGAGGGTATGTCCTTTGCCAAAGTCAGTGTTATCTTAGCAGGTAATAGCCCCGCCCACCCGCCCTGTCTATTCTTAGAGAGTATCTCATTTGCCAAAGTCAGTCTTAACTTAACAGCTACTTGCCCCGCCCACCCACCCTTTCTTTTCTTAGAGGGTATATCACTGATTGTGGAAAATCATATATGTACTTTTTAAAAATAGAGGGCCGGTGGGCGGGCCTCGTACTTGATAAGATAAGACTGATTTTGGTAATTAACATATTTTCCAAGATAAAAAAGGGTGGGTGGGTGGGATTAAAACTTGTTAAAATAGGACTGAACAATTAAGAGTAGTCACTGGAACGAAGAAGGGGTGGGTGGGTGGGGCTACTGCTTACTCATAAAACTAGAAAAAAGCCCCGCCCACCTCCTTTCTCCGCTTCACGTTGACTTATTTTATTTAGTGTAAAATGGAAATTTCAAAATAACAGTATAGTATTCAGAAAATTTTCAAGGAAAATGGAGTGAGCCGTTCCTGATTTAATCAATAAAATAAATTGATGCAATGATAAATCACACGTAAAAATTTATCATATTTTGCACATTTTGGGTGGAATTTATTCGGCAAAATTTTGAAATGACGTCATCAATTTTTTGGGGGAATAAACAGATAGATTTTGATTAACAATTTACCACTCTTACAACAACTTTAAAACGTCTGCAAGATTTCAAAGTATTCAGTTTTGCAATTCTTGATTTATTCAGTAAAATACATTGACTGATTTTTTTTGAGTGACCCTGTATAAGCATGTCTAAAAAATGAGGTTCTTAATTTGATCAATAAAAAATTAGTCGAAAGCTAGAAGTATAATCCAACAAATCCATCTCTTTAAAAAAATGATAAAATTTGATTTTACGTTTTTCGTTTTGCGATAACCGCTGTAAAGTAAAAACTAGATGCATAAATAACACCCCTTGTCCTTCAGCACTAGATAATAGCAGTGTGTGTAACATGGGTTTATTTATGTTTATACATCGAAAGAATGTCACGTTGACGTTTTTTTTTGGCGAGAGCGCACTTGGTGACCCATCCCATATTTTTTGTGGATTTTTAGACAACGTCCTACCGTTTTTCTAGAGGCGCTAATAATAAATCTCAAAAATGCTCATATTTCTGATCATTTTTGAGATATTTTCAAAATTCGAGTTTGAACGTGAACATTTCGAAAACCAGTATGTAACTGCTGACTGGATTTTGGACTATTTTAACACCTTAACATATTGGTGTCATCGTAAAAAAATAAAATTCGAAAATGACTTAACCTGACCTGACTTGAGGTGAGGTGACCTAACCTGACTTGATCTAACAAGATATAATTCGTTGATCAGATCTGATATGACTTGACCTGACTTCAACTGACCTCATCTAGCCTGACCTGATTCATAATTATACGATTTTAGGTGTAAGATTTGAACAGTTTTTACACAGAACTTCCCTCACCGCTGAAGAACAACGAATCTGCACCCACGTAAGGTAATATTTTTCAATAAATTAAGTGAAACAAATTTAAGAATGACGCGATTTATCAATTTCGTGGGAAAATAAATGTATTGATTTTGACCTGCATACTGTAACATTAACTTACAGTGTTTCGGCATTTCGGAGAATTAGACAAGTCGTTCCTGAAATCACGATGAGGTCATCAGTGTTTTGGGAGGGATGAATAAATAAATTTTACTTGATGTACTCGCCCGTTTAGCTTCACCTTTTTGTCACGAGGTGTCTAAAATGCCCCAAATCCGGCCCTGATTCCATCCCACAAAGAAACCACAGCCCAGCCTCCATCCGCTAAAGGTCGCTCTAATTCGGTCCCATCTTCAACTTCGACATTCGTCGGATCGGTTCTTTTGTCATATTTTTAGATCAATCATTTTCGGATAAATATTTGGCTACGCCGTCTCGTTCCTGAAATCTGCGCAAACTAATCGGAATCCAAACACTGTTCCTCTTCCTCTTTCGCAAAATAAACGTCGCTCGTAAAAGCGCGCAAACATTTGTTTAAAAATAGTCGAAAGGCGAATTTCACAAGGAAAAAGATTTTGGAGATGGGACTTTTCGGACGCTCCATATTTCCGAGTTATAAATAATCAACCGGGATGCGTTCGGAGCGTGAATTAGGTAATTCCAGTTCCAGGTTACATAAAAAGGAAACAACAATAGCGAACAATTGTTACGCACCGTGCGTGCAATATTAATAAGGTGGAAAATGTATTAAAACTGTACACAAGCGGCTCGGTTTTACGGTTTTCGTTGTTGTTATTTTGCTTGTTAATTGTGGTTAATTGGGGTTTTTGTGACGGTTTGTGTCCTGGTTTCACCGGTTTTTGGGAGACGATACGATACGATCTGGAATCTGGAATCGTCTGCCAGCCACCTTGTCACGTATACGTCGTTATCTAATAGTTTCGTTAATAGTTCGTAAACAGGTTGAACGATCTACACAGATAACGAAAATAAATAAAAATGAGTGTGATATCACTACTTTTGCCGGTATTTTTCGACGTGTTTTCTCTACCTGTCGTCGGTATCAGAATCGGTCACGGTACTCACTTCTTGCATAATAAAGCAAACCTCTACACAAAATGTGGAAATTAAACTCAATCATTTGAAACGTCCCAGTTGACAAAAACGCCGACAACAAAGCAACAAAGCCCGACTTTAGGGAGTTCAGGGTACCCCGACTACATTTTTTTTTAAGTGTAACTACCAAGCCACCGCTTACCTTTGACATGTTGCGGGTTTATCCACACAATCCCATCACTTTCGTAAATAGCCAAACATCACGGTCAGTTTCATTAAACTTATCTTTTCGCGGATCAATACAAAACCGAAATTCTTAATCTACGAACTCGGGTGGCGATTTAGGACGAGTTTGCGCCTCGAGTTTGTTGTATTTTGGAACTAATGCGCATATGCATAGGCTATTGATGCACAAATCGATGTGTTGACGATGTCAACAATGGGTTCACTGTGCTAACGTTTTAACAGAATTGTTGCATTGGTTTATTGTGTAATTCGGCCGCGGTCGACGCCGCCACTCACTCTTGAATTCAGGAGCGACAAATGCATTTTGTTTGCGATAAGTGCGATTTTGCTTGCTCAAATTTTATCAGGTTTACGTTGTTCAAGGACTTTTTTAATAGTTGCACCGCCAACGACGTGAACTCCAACACTAATTTCCTGTGAGGATACGTCGATGGGCAAAAATATTGCGAAATGAGCGATGTTGGTGGGGAGGGGTTCGGTTTCAACCCTTCACCCTAATCACTGGGGGAGCGAAATAGATGAGCCTAGCCCAAGGGGTGTGCCGGCGATGCTAAACTCAGCTGGAACATAATTATTAAAGAAATTAAACGATGCACTTAATTTATTTTAAATTAACGCTTTCTTATTCTTTGGGAATTCTTTATTATATTCTTAACTTTTGCGATTATCGACACTTTCAAATAAGCCAATTTTTTCCGGATCATTAATTCCACTAATGACTTGTAAGCAAAATCGTTATGGTGTGTTTATACGAAAATTATCTGAAATTGTTATCAAAAAGCTTAACTTTTTCATACGATTGTCGATGGTATTAACTGATTGAAATTTCTAGGAAAATTTTCATAATGCCGTGATTTTGATTTATTTGTGGAATTTATCCCGTCTACAAAACTAGTGACGTCATCCCACATCTCATTTGAAATTGACCCCTTTCGTCAATTCTGTTGTGCTTGCATCAGGTATTTTCCCTTTATTTGTAAATTGCTGTTTTTCCAGGTTATCATCGTTGTTAAATAAATAAATGTACAAATATCGTCTTTATTAACAAACATTTTCTGTCTTCGATGTTATTTCACAAGGTTGTAGCTTGTTTTCCATCGCAGCCACTTGTTGATTTAACAACTTCACATATTTTTACTGGATCTGTTATATAAAATACGGCTTTTTGCACATGTCCGCATTGACACTTCAACTTGCACTCAAGCGACTCAGATGCATCACAACCAAGTTTTAATTTTTTTGATAGCACTGTTTTGGTGAAATGTTTGCTGTGAGGGAAAATACCAGAGCTTAAAGAGTTTAGTTAACACTACCAAAGGGCGAAATTCATGACTAAATTTTTTACTTTTTTGTTTTTGAATTGTTGCAATAAGCAAACCTTGATCCACCTGGTAGAGCTACAATTTTTGATGGGCATTTGGAAATCAAATAAATATGAAATTTTGACAAGAATTAACAATCTAAAAGACATAAGAGTGCCTTTGGACGTAATAACGCAATATAAAAACGATTTTAAATGCTAGTTTAACGATATAATGACGATAAAGCGCTTTTCTGGGAGTTCCAATTCAATACGTTATACTAACCAAGAAAATTATCAAAAATTTCCTTCACCAACCTTCAAAATTTTATTAAATGTTGTTTTGAACTTCCATGTGACATTTTTTGCGCGATTTTCGTCTTAATTTTTCAAAAAATAAATCAAAAAGTTCAGTTTGAAATTAAAAGTAGTCCTACCACGTGGATCAAGTCGTCTGACGAACAGGAACCTGTTGAACCAGCCCGGGAAAAATTTCACTTTATTTAAAAGTACGAATATATAAAATTTGGAATCGAGGAACCTGGTGTACGAATGGCTACTGGCGCCTCTGGAAAATTTCGAGATAACCGAATCCGCCCCTGTCCATAATATCGTGAAGTATAATTTAAAAGAATTTCGGGGACCCCTGTAGGTCTTGATTTTGAAGTAATTTGAAGGAATTTTGAGGACTTCTGGTGTCTTGTTTATGAAGTAATTTGGAAGAATCTCGGGGACCTCTTTTGTTTTTTTTGAAGTAGTTTGCAAGAATCTCGGGGACTTCTTGTTTCTCGTTTTTGGAGTAATTTGAAAGAATGTCGGGGACCTCTTGTGGATTTGGTTTTTGAAGTATTTTGAAAGAATTTCGGGGAGTTTTTGTGTTTTGTTTTTGAAGTAATTTGAAAGAATCTCGGAGACCTCCTGTGGGTCTAGTTTTTGAAATAATTTGAAAGAATCTGGTGGACTCCTTGTGTCTTATTTTTGAAGTAATTTGAAAGAATTTCGGGAACCTTTTTCTTGTGTGTTTTGTTTTTTGAAGTATTTTAGAAGAATCTCGAGGACCTATAATAATAGTAATAATAATAATAGTGCTTTATTACGCCGAAAGATGTAAAGGCATTACATAAAGTACATAACAAAATATTAACATAACAATTCATATTAACATAATAGTAACAATTTGCGACATTCTTTCTTGAAGGCGTTGAGGGAGATACCAAAAAACTCTAAAGTGTTGCATTCGTTAGCAATCATCAAAACGCTATTTAGAGGCGAATGTAATGCATAATTCGTTTTATGAACTGGTATAAAAAACAGCCTAGGCGTACGAACCTTACGGATTGACACATTAAGACCTACCAACGCTAGCAATATGGGGGCTTCAATTAAACCATTTAATAATTTAAAAAGAAAACATAGTTTGTGATACTTACGACGATTTCCTAGTGTATGTACTGACAGATAAGATGCAACAAGGTCTGTATCTGCTAACACAATACCATCACCACACAACTTATATTTGACATATTTTAAAAGTTTGATTTGGACAGCTTCAATTCGGCTTATGTGAGTGATATAAAACGGTGACCAGTTGACACAATTGAATTCCAATATCGATCGGACTAACGAATATCAGAATGGTTCTGATGTTACTGAAGTTCACCGTCCACCGTTTTAAACACCCCAAAAGTTTTCTACCTCTAGAAACAACATATTCACAGTGACTGACGAAAGATAATTTAGTGTCTAAATAGATACCCAAATCCTTGGCATTGCTAACTATGTCTAGGGGCGTATTTTCTAGTAGGTACAATGGAACTGAGGGACGACTTTTGCGACTAAAGCACATTGCTTTGCATTTTTTAATGTTAAGAGACATATGATTGAGTTTACACCAATCGTTAAGACATATAAGATCATTTGTCAAAGTATTTATGTCATACATGGAATCAATCTTCTTATATAACTTCAAGTCATCTGCATACAGTAAGGAATTTGAGTTGAAATTCAAGCAGATATCGTTAATGAAGATATTAAATAAAAGTGGTCCTATAACCGAGCCTTGAGGAACTCCAGATGTTGATTCGTAGGTAGATGACTTGAACTTCATTAATTGTACAAAATGTAGACGATGACTGATATAAGAATGAATCCATGAAAGTAAAGGATCACGAACGCCGTAGAGTAGAAGTTTGTGTATCAAAATGGTGTGATCAACAGTATCAAACGCCTTGTGGAAGTCTGTGTAGATGCAGTGAATTTCCGAACCGTCCTCAATTGCATTAAAAATATCATTTATGTATACAAAGAGATTAGATTCAGTTGATCTACCAGAACAAAAACCATGTTGTGACACACTGATTACGTTTCTAAAAGAATCACTTATGAAACTGGACACAATGTTTTCAAAGATTTTCGATAGAACTGAAATTATACTAATCGGTCGATAGTTTTCAATGTCTTGCTTATTGCCAGATTTAAAGATTGGTACCACACGTGCAGATTTCCACAAGTCAGGAAATTTTCCCGAACTTATTGAAATAGAGAAAATTCGTGTTAGTGGTATAACCAATGAATCTCTGCAGTTATAAAAAAATGTTGGAGGTAACTCATCTGGCCCAGCACCCTTGTTTAAGTTTAGAGCATTAAGTTCTCTTGCTACCAAATCTTCCGTGATATGCACAGAGCTGATGTCAACAAATGAGTCAATTGTGTAAGGATAGTTATAATTACTACTACTGCTGGTATTATTAGTATATACGGAAGAAAAAAAACTGGCAAACGTATCAACTATGTTTTGAAACCCGCAAACATCAATACTTTTATAAATCATTATATTTGAAAAGTCGCAACTGTTTTTTACACTCTTAATAAAATTCCAAAAATGTTTTGGGTTAGAGTTGATTTGAGATTCGGTGTTCTTAATAAATTTGTTGTAACAGCAAGCGATTTCTTGTTTACATTTGGCTCTAATTAAACTGAAATTATAATAATCTCTGATATCACGGCTTATTTTATAACGACGATGTAATTTGTTCTTCTCAATCACTAACTTTCTAGTTTCATGGCTAAACCAAGAGGGAAAATTTTTACTTTTAGATTTCCGGATTGGTATAAAATTATCACAAATGAAATACAAACACTGGTAAAAGTCATCTACAATATCACATATGTCATTATCGCTACTAATAAAATCCCAGTTAAAGTTAAACAGGAAAGAATTGATGGCATTATAATCACAGTTTCTGAAATCACGATAGGTATCACAAAATGTATCACCGTAATAATTACAGTTACAGTCAGATATCACAAATTTAAAAGGTGGATGAAACTTATCCACCTTTACAAACTCACCAGTACGACTTACAGTAAGACTATCACAGTTGGAAAAACAAAGGTCAAGAATATTATTATTGCAGTTGGCAATATTGTTAAATTGACAAAGATCGCATGACGCAAAATTGTAGCATATAAGAGTCTCTTTTTCTGATTTAATATTAGTTGGAGTTAAACCTATTGTCTCATCATCTTGAATCCATTGTATGCCAGGCAGATTGAAGTCTCCTAGAACAAAAATCGTATCGGCCAAGTTGTTGTAACATATAGTTTTGAGATTGCCAACATAATCGGCATAGACAGCAAGTGAAACGTCTGGTGGGAGATAAACAGCACTGAAAATAAAAAATCTGCTGTTGACTTGCAACCTAATCCATATATCTTCGACTGAAGAAGGGATGTACAATTTGCTGGATAAAAGATTTTTCCTAACTGCTATCAGGACACCACCACCTATAGATTTTTCACTATTGTTTGATGAACGGTCATTCCTGTACACGACATATCGGTTATCAATAAATTCACTATCATCGATGTCTGGATGAAGCCATGTTTCTACAAAAATAATGACATCAAAGTTCTCACTCAAGCACGATACATAAC